TCATATTATCTCCTTTGGAGCCTAAATGAAGCACTGAGTTAAAAATTAATTAAAAATATTTCATTTATTACTTCATTGTTTCGTCTCCGACCCCTGTCTCTTTTTCACCAATAATACCATTTTTGTCTCAATAGCCAGCCCTGAAGTGGACTCCAAACGATCCCACTCGAGCTCACACTCCTCCACTTCCTCTTCCTCCCAACGAGACGGGCACTCGGTCCTCTCGGAGCGGTCTGACCTCCTCACCGGCAAATGCTTTCGAGCTTCTGCGAAAGCAGCATTTCCCCACAAACGGCCATCTACCCAACGAATTCTCACCCCACGCCGTCTCTCCTGTCTCGGCAGCTCCCCTGACAACCACCGCTTCTCCGTCCTCCTTCAAGCCGGCCGTCGTATTGGCCCGAGAGACGGTAGTCGCGACAGAGGAGACGGCCAGGCCGAGGCGGCCTGACGACCAGTTGGAGAGGGATCGAGGCCCGAGGACCGGGACGAGGACGGCAGGCTCAGCCACCAACCAGAGGCGGTCGGACGAGTCGAGCGGAGGGCTTGATTACACAGACGACCAGTTGGACCTTCCGCTTCCGCCGCCACCACCGCCGGTCTCGATGGTGACGAGCCAGTGGCATCAGGACAAAGAGGAGCAGCGTCAGCAGCAGCAACAGCAGACGGCACTGTTGATGCAACTGTTGCGGACCGGCGGCAGCACGACGGCGCCCGGCGACCTGCCCGGCTCCGCGGCCTCAACCGCTTCCACCTCAGCCTCGGCTTCAATTCCCGTCACAGTTCCAGTCTCGCCCGTCACCTCGTCTCCTGCGTCGATTTCGACCGCTGCCGTCGTCAGACCTGCCGGCTCGAGGACAGATCTGCCCACTCTCGCTTCGGCGTCGACGTCTCCTGGTCAGATGGGGCTGGAGAGCTTTGACGACCATTTGCGTGAGGCCATAGCGCGCCGTCGTCGACAACGTCTCCAACTCGAGGCCTCGCAGTCACCGCCTCCACTGCCAGCTCCGGTATCGGTACAAACATCGCCGCTCTCATTGGCCCAGTCAGGCAGACCGGGCCCGTCGTCAACTTCCGCCAGGCGGCTGGTCCGCGAACCGTTGTCACCCGCAGCTTCGCCGACTTTTGGCTCGTCTGCTTTGCATCGGATGCCCGCCAAGGTGACCAGCTTCAACGGCGACGCCGACGGCGACGGCTTTTCTCTGGGGCCTTTGATGGCGTCAGCCACCCTCGGTCGGCCTGGACGGCGACCGGTACGCCATCAGCCTGGCCAAAATGAAGTGTCGAGATGGCCGCCTTCGACGGCCGGACGAGTCACGGTATCCAGGACGACTCAGCCCACCAGCGTCACTTACTCTACTTCCCTCGAGCCGTCTGGCACCGGCGCCGGCTCATCTACTGGCCCCGCCATCGACGAGGTGACGCCGTTCCAAGCGGCCGCTGAGCGCTTTCAGGCCAGCGCTCTGGCCAGACGTCTGCACGCACAGGCACCGCCACCATGTCGCCTTGACATAAGCCGACCGACAACTGGTGGCCATGGCAACAGGGAGACTGAATCCGCTGGTCAGACAGTCTCGATGTTGGCCAGCGCCCTTTTGAACGGTCGTGAGACGGGCCATTTCATTGGGCCCGCAATGATCCCGCCTCCAGACAACTTTCGTGATGTAGCCGGTTTTGCGGCCGGTTCCGAGGCAGGTCATGACGCCGGAAACGGACTCCTCGTGGGCCGAGTGAGTGTTCTCCTGCGCTCTGTTCATTTGGGCCTGGGTCGTCGTCTTGACCACACTCCTATTAAGACACTTCAGCATACGCCCAACTGACAACGCATCTTTACCTGGGGGCCGACCGAACTGAACTTTGTTTAGATATGAAGGCTAGCCGGGTTTCTCGAATTCACTTGAGCTAATGCTATTGTTGATGATGACGATGACGTCCGTTGTTATGCAATCGTTTGGCGTTCATGTTGCCACGGTCCACGAGGCATTCTCTTTTTGGGTACAAATGGGCTGAGCATCGTCCTTTATGTCAGTTGGCGGACATTGTCAGAGCTGGAAATTATCTTGCAAAAGCTTCTAGTTAACACTAAA